GTTGTTTTCAAAGGCAACTGGACTTCGTTTTTCCTTGAAGATGTTTTGTTTCCCACTCAAGAAACTTCTTCATTTCTAGAAATATTAATGTTGGAGATAGAGCTAAAACCAGAACTTTTTTTATTGGGCATAACCATAGAGAAATATGACAAAGGGATAGTCTACTTGATGTTGCACATCTTGACTGCTGCTAGACTGGTGTTTGCACAAAAATGGAAGAACAAAGAAACTCCCACAGAGGAAGAGATACTATATAAGATACTATCGTGCGCTGAAATGGACAGGCTCACGATGGAAGTGAAGGACAAGAGTGGACTTTGAAATCTGGGACAAATTTTACTATTGGTGGGAACCGAGGACGATGGTTAGGGTTATAGATTAGCGTTAAGATGGAAATGTGTATAATCTTAGGTTAGTAAATAGAGAAATGAATTAGGTATTGTATAAAAAATACATATGTACTTATAGAGATAAAGAACTAAACGTAAGAAGAGAAACAATTTGTTGGAAATGTTTATACTGGAATGTTACGTCATGTCCAATCTTTTCTTTTTTTTTAAACTGTATTATAAATAAAAAACTTTAAAAAAAAAAGAAACTTCTTCATTTCTGACTGAATGGTGGAGAACGGAAGGAAGCTTCAAGGAAAAACAAGGTCCAGTTGACTTTGAAAAAGCACCTTTGGGAAATTTGGGGCTACAGCAAGCAGGATCTAGGAGCGATGTGAGGGACTGTCCCCCCCCCAGCCTTTATCGGTTAACCACCTTTGAGTAAGCGCTCTACATTGTCCCAATGTCATCTTATTTCTCTGTAGCTAAGGTTTAATTACCGATTTGTTTTTCCTTGCTTTTATTTTAAATGGTGTCGCAGCATTATTTTGCTGTGTATTTTAAAAACAGTCCTTTCTATTCAAGGGCGGTTAATGGACTGTGGCTAATCTCCCATTGGAGACCCACAAAAAAACTAATTCAATGGGTTGAATCAGCATAAAGTTTTAATTAAAATTGCCAGCGGCCTTTGTGGAATCTGACATGCTTCAAAGGAAAGACTGCAACAGAATCTGGATCTGGGAAAAGGACACGGCTGAATAGCACACCGGACTTTAATCTTATATGATGTATTTTCTGGCCTATATTTAGAAAAGTCAGATCCAATTCTGAAGAACTTCATAGAGTCATCGGTGTGGTTTCCCTGGCAACAATAGAGAAATGTACTTTTTTGTTTCTGCCTTCTTTCAAGATGATGTATGAGTTCCCAGTTTAGCCTGCAACTCTTTGCTAATCTCCCATTTCAACGGTAATTTCATCTGAACCTGCTATGCTCTTTTGAGATCAGCCAAAGTGATCAAGGGATCTGTTTCAGTTTTGTCCATCTTGAAAAAGCCCAGCAGATTACACTTGGACTGGGGGGTTCCTGGAACATTTTGGAGACTTTTGAGAATGGCCCTATGACCGTGCAAATTTGCTCCGCTTACATGGTCATTCCAAGAAATGCTAGCATTCTGGTTAGGAGGATTCCCACAAATCTTCTCTCTCAGGTTCACTGTCTAATAGACCTGGGTGCAGTGGCTGCTCTATTTAGACATTACATTTGTATTGTCTTATGGTGGGTCTTTTATTTCTTATATGCAGGTTGTTTTTCTGATTTTTACTGTGTTGATTTCCAGTAGGGAGATGTCTAGAGGCTGATGAATGGAGTGGCACATCAGTGAAAATAAATAAAATAAAAATAAAATAATTAATAAAATAAAAATAATAAAATAAAATAAAATAATAAAATAAAATAAAAATAATAAAATAAAATAAAATAAAAATAATAAAATAAAATAAAAATAATAAAAAAATAATTAATAAAATAAAATAAAAATAATAAAATAATACTGTGTTGATTGCCAGTAGGGAGATATCTAGAGGCTTATGAATGGAGTGGCACATCAGTGAAAATAAATAAAAATAAAAATAAAATAATTAATAAAATAAAATAAAATAATAAAATAAAATAATAAAATAAAATAAAAATAATAAAATAAAATAATAAAATAAAATAATAATAATAAAATAATTAATAAAATAAAGTCAAATAAAATACTTTTTGCTTATGTACCATCAGGCACTTTTCTGTATAAAATTAAGCTATTGAGATGGTGCTTGATTTACGACCATTTGTTTAGCAACCATCTGAACTTACGTCCACCCTGAAAAAAGTGACTTACAACTAATCATTGCATTTACACCATCGCGCCCCTGCCGTCCTGCGATTGCAATTTTATGCGCTTGACAACCGACATGTATTTATGACAGTTGCAGCATCCCGGAGTTACTTACTCGCCCTTTGCAACCTTCCCAGCCAGCTTCCGACAAGCAAAGTCAATGGGGGGAACCTGGATTTGCTTAACGACTATGACAAAAATGGTGGTAAAATCGGATGCAGTGAGGACTCACTTGATGACCGCAACCAACGTTCCAGACCCAACTGTGGTCATAGATTGAGGACTACCTGTAAGGTTTTTTTCTTTCTTTCTTAAGGGAGGGAAGATTCAGCTATTCTTCCCTTTCAGGTGCTACAGTCCCGGAAAGAGGCACCGTTATTCACCCCAGCCATACCTGGTGCATTCCTGCTGGCCACGTAGCAGGCAACCTGCCAGCGGGATTTGCCCCTTCAGCACCCACCAGCATCTTGGCCACAGCCAGCCCTGTGCTCTCAGCGGGAAAGAAACAAGCCACGATTGCCCCCACGGCATCCTCTTCCTTGGCCCAGCTTATATCCAGCGGGCCAGCGTTGAACAGGAGCAGAACCACAGGGCGGCCAGCGGCTGAAATGAAAGGCCCACTCAGCTTATGAGGAGGCAAGTTGCAATCCATGCATCCCTCAGACATGATACTCTCCAGATACACGGACTCTTGTACCCCTCAGCCCCAGCCATCGTGCAGAGGGAGAGCCGAAGACTGCTGACCCTGGGAACCTTCGATCTCCACTGAGTTCCTAATGCTATTTTGCAGCAGAGGGCATACTTTCTATGAATAAGATCCATGAATGGTAGTAGCAGATACAGGTAACTTAGAGGTGATCAACTCAGAGTTGATCTTAGTCTTGCCTTTCCAATCCTGGAGTCCCTCTGATCCCAAGATCATGCAGCTAATATCTGGGAGTAAACCCCCAATCATTATGATGTAAGATTCTGCCTTTTTTGGACCAAGGAAGTATAAAATAGGAATCATGCAACAATTTTTCTAAAGCAACAATTTATCAACATCAACAATATTAAGAAGTTTACAACAGAGGTCCCCAACCTTTGGGGCACCAGGGACCAGTTCCATGGGGAGAGGTTTTTCCGCGGACCGGAGGGTGTGTAGTTTTGTGTGCTGCCTGCATCCGGTGGATGGGGCTTTGCTTGTTTGTGCGGACCGGTTGCTGGCATGCCGTGGCCCGGTACTGGTCCACAGACCGAGTGCTGGGGACCCCTGGTTTATAATACTGGTTGAATAAAGTTCAACTCCTACTAACTACAGAGGCAGTATCCATGTAGTTTCCTTATAGCAGCAACTCTCAGATTGTTCAGCTTCACATTCTACCGTACCATCCTAGAATCTCTCTGGGGTCTCCCACCCAAGAACTAACCTGGTCTGATCCTGCTTAGCTTTTCAAGATCAGCCAAGTTCCACTAGGTCAGTGGTGGCGAACCTATGGCACGGGAGCCAGAGGCGGCACTCAGAGCCCTCTCTGTGGGCACGCGCGCCGTCGCCCCAGTCCTAGGCCTTCAGCTGGGTTTTATAAAACCTTTTCGCTTTAGGCCTCTGCCGCCGTGTGCAAAAAAAAAAGGTTCAATCAATCAGTTAATTTCAATTTCTCACGGGAAAAAAAAAGATCTTGCAAAGTTGGAATTGATTGATTGAACTTTTTAGTCCCACCTAGTCTGCCGTTACCACCGCAGCCACGCCCACCTGACGGGCCACACCCACCCAATTGGCCACGCCCACCCGGCACCCGACGATGCATAAGTGGATTTTGGGCTGCAGTTTGGGCACTCAGTCTCTAAAAGGTTCGCCATCACTGCACTAGGTGCTACCATCCAGCTGGGCCATAATAATTCAACCGGACCGTAAAATGTGATCCAAGATGCAAAATGCTGGCCCCATCTCTTTTAGTGATGTCACTAGGTCACCTCCAGGCTTCTTATAGTCCTGCTCTGGGGAAAGAGACAAACAAACTCACCCCAGGCCACAGAAGACTGCAGAAGGTCCATTTGATGTGTGGGCAAAGACAAATTGTTGCGATCATTGGATTCAGATTCCAGATCAGCTCCTGAGAGGAAGGAACAGAGAGCGTGTGAAAAAGATCCTTTTGCTGCTCTTACCTTCTAGGACTATCCAATCTCTATGGGTGGGAACTTTTTCTAGAAAGGGGGGTGGTGGAGTTTTTCTCCCTGTTGTCTATGGAAATTCTCAATCATCATCCAGGCCATGGTTGTCCCAAAGGTGCTTTTCCAAAAGGCAACTGGACTTGCTCCTGGGGGAGAAAAGCTATGGCAAATCTAGACGGCATACTAAAAAGCAGAGACACCACCCTGCCAACAAAAGTGCGCATAGTAAAGGCCATGGTTTTCCCAGTTGCAATGTATGGCTGGGAAAGTTGGACCGTAAGAAAGGCTGAGCGCCAAAGAATTGAGGCCTTTGAACTATGGTGCTGGAGAAGACTCCTGCAAGCCCCCTGGACTGCAAGATGATCCAACCGGTCGGTCCTAAAGGAGATCAACCCCGACTGCTCTTTAGAAGGCCAGATCCTGAAGTTGAAACTCAAGTACTTTGGCCACCTAATGAGAAGGAAGGACTCACTGGAGAAGAGCCTGATGCTGGGAAAGATGGAGGGCAAGAGAAGAAGGGGACGACAGAGAATGGATGGAGTCACTGAAGCAGTAGGCATGAGCTTAAATGGACTCCAGAAGATGGTAGAGGACAGGGAGGCCTGGAGGAACGTTGTCCATGGGGTCGCGATGGGTCGGACACGACTTCGCAACTAACAACAAAAGAGATGACCATGACGTCAATGAAAATAGTCAGAGAAGAGATCTCTCTGTCCACAGAAGGAACAGGGATGAAGAAAGCATCTCAGAAGGGACACTCCCTAATTCTCTGGAAAGTCAAGGGAAGGGAAGGCAGAAAGGCTTGCAGGCTTGCACGATTCCGTTACGATAATCTTACACTTCTTGAAGGACTGACGGAAAACCTGCGTTTTTAGGCACACCTCTTACCTGTCCCAAGGCACACGATCACAACGTCTGCTCCTTCGATTGCAGCTTTCACATCTTTGGGATAATACTGGAGACACCTCGGATGCTCGCATCCAAGAGCAGAGGTGACATTTGCTGAGATAGCTGCTAAGCCCCTCCTGCATCAGCCAGAAACAAGAGTAGGTCCTTAGCTTCTCAGCAGTAGCAGTAGCACTTAGATTTATATACCGTTTCACGATGCTTTCCAGCCCTCTCTAAGCGGTTTACAGAGTCATCTCTACCCGTGACACAGTAGTAGTAGTAGTAGTAGTAGTAGTAGTAGTAGTAGTAGTAATAATAATAATAATAATAATAATAATAATAATAATAATAATAAAGTTGGAAGGGACTTGGAGGTCATCTAGTCCAACCCCCTGCTCAGGCAGGAAACCCTATACCATTTCGGACAAATGGCTGTCCAGTCTTTTCTTGAAAACTTCCAGTGTTGGAGCATTCGCCGCTTCTGGAGGCAGGTTGTTCCACTGGTTAATTGTTCTCACTGTCAGGAAGTTTCTCCTTAGTTCTAGGTTGCTTCTCTCCTTGATTAGTTTCCATCTGTTGCTTCTTGTCCTGCCTTCATGCACCTTGGAGAATAGCTTGACTCCCTCTTCTTTGGGGCAGCCCCTGAGATATTGGAAGACTGCTATCATGTCCCCCCTCCATCCTTCTCTTCATTAAACTAGACATACCCAATTCCAGCAGCCTTTCCTTATATGCTTTAGCCTCCAGTCCCCTGATCATCTTTGTTGCTCTCTTCTGTACTCTTTCTAGAGTCTCAACATCTTTTTTACATCGCGGTGACCAGAACTGGTCAGGAGTGTTCCCTCCTGACACCAAGAACAGGGCTGATAGGTTTGGGCCAGTGCACCACAAATGCAAGCACAATCCTATTTTATTTCAAGCACGTCCATACTATTAAATGCAAGCAAGGGTCTCAGTCTTCAGACGGCCTTTGCAAACGAACCATACTGAGGCCTGCAGTGCAGTGACACACAGTTATCTTTTTAAAATATAAGGGATTCATGAAAAATGGAGACTTGCTTTAACCAAGCACGCATGCAAGAAATGAAGTCAGTGAACAAAAGTGGCAACTACAATGAAGCAGAACATAAGTGTGGTAACATACAAGAAGCTGGAATAAAAGATGCTGAGCATTTAAGCATACTAAACTTCAGCACGCAGTCCATGGGAATCCAAGGACTGCCTTAGTTTAGGATGCAGTCATGGTTTTGTTGCTCGCTCATTGCAAGTAATAGCAATAGCACTTAGACTTATATACTGCTTCATGGTGCTTTACAACCCTCTCTAAGCGGTTTACAGCATCAGCATATCGTTCTCAACAATCTGGGTCCTCGTTTTACTGACCTCGGAAGGATGGAAGGCTGAGTCAACCTTGAGCCGGTGAGATTTGAACTGCTGGCAGCCGGCAGTCAGCAGAAGTAGCCTGCAGTACTGCATTTTAACCACTGCGCCACCACGACCAGTAGAAGTCACAAAGTTCAGAAGGATCTCATCTTCAGAACCTTGACTTGTGAAACTGGATCAACCAACCCTGGGAATGTCCTTCCTAAGCCCCACCACATTATAAGGTACATTTGAAGTAGCTACAACCAGCAGAATACCCAAAGTAGTGGCTGAACTGCAGTTGGCCTCCTAGTTGAGTGTAATGAGAAGGAACAACCGTGAGGAACAAGAGAAAGAGACACAATCAAGGCAACACTCAAATAACACAAATCTCTCACTTGACAGTGAGATGGGGGTAGCACATCAATTTTGTAAATAAAATAAAAATAATGATAATAATTATTCACACCAGCTGTAGAAAAGCTGAGAAGAAGTTCTAGAGGGGAGCTCAGATCTAACACCATCAGCCCCAATCATGCCACAGCAGTCACCCAAAAACCTGTTTGGGGGCAGAGAGGATTGTTGGTCTTACCTGGGTGTATAAATGTATTGGGGTTCAGGGACTGGTGCATAATCCCCAAAGAGGAGATTAGCCTTGTCTGCAAAGGGTCCAACCACCTGCCAGAAAGAACAAGGGGAGGTAGAAGAGATGTTGTTTCTCGGAGGAAGATGAAGTTAGTCGCCATCAAGATTTCTGGGACTGACTTTTTGATTGATTTCTCCCCCCCCCCCCTATTTTATAAGTGAATTTAACAATCAAACTAAAATCCACAGCAGTTTGTTTATGTTTTAGTTTTGTGAATCAGTATAACCTATGCTAGTTATCACCTTGCAGCCTAGAACCATTGTTTCTCATGGTGTCTGCTCCTTCCCAGCAGGGTGATATTGCTCCAGGAGCCTTCAAACAATGCCACCTAGAAAGCAGGACTTCTGGGTCACAACACCCACCCCTTGAAGAAGCAACCCCAAGACTTGGTCAGTCTGGACCCTCAGCAGGACCTCAAAAATGTCCTTCCTTCCTTCCTTCCTTCCTATCTCAGTCAATGACTCTGGCCAACTATATCAATCATTGTTACTGTTGTATTGCTTTTGCTTTCAATTTGTTTCATTTTTTCAAACCTTTATTTTTATAAACCCCCTCCCATATATCTTTTCCTAACTCAGTCTCAATCTGCACACGCACACACACATACATATATACTACACATTTATCCCCCCCCCGTTTGTGGCTGTATCACCAACCTTATTTTTTTTTATTAGAAACCTAATCTCTAACAAAGTACCCAGAAACACATCAAGGAACGAAGTCACAAAACTGTTCATGCCAATCTCTATTCCTGGTCCTCACCTCCCATCCGCCACCCCAGTAAGATTCTTCTTCAGCAGCCTCACCTAAGAGGGCTTCTGCAGGGGACAGGACCCACCCAACTTTAGCTGACCTTGAAAGGCCAAATAGGACTGGACCAGCTTAAACAGATGGTTCCCCCCACCGGGAGACTTCAAAGCTGGTCTGCAAAATCAAAAAACCCTGCATGAGTGTGCCCACGTAGACCCTCAAAATTGACTTAAGACAGTCTTTGTCCTTCCATTAGTTTCAAATTATTATTATTGAGTTGTGACATGTTTTGGGAGCCAAATGGTGTTGCTGATCTGTTGTGAAACTTCTCGAAGTCAAACTAGACAATCTGGGCAACGTTTGCTCAGTCATGTTCACAGACGTGTTGATCTCCCCATGAATATGTCCCAGGAGAGAATACCCACCGTTACTGCAATCCTATCAAGAACAGGCTGATTTTGCAAAGGCCCCTCAGTGGACACTTACCGCAATGGTCTTGTGCAGTAGGTCTTCTCCTTTGAAAGGCAGCATTTCGTTCCGGTTTTTCAGCAAAACAAAACTCTGGAGGGCGGCTTTGAGGGCCAGACTGCGGTGGGCTTCTGACTGTATAACCTCAGCCCCCAGTGCATTATAGGGGTTCATGGCTGGTGGGTCAAATTCACCCAGGCGCAGACGAGTGAGGAAAAGGGGGCGGACACGATCCCGGATCATCTGCAGGAAGCAGGGAGAAACACAGGCTTTAAGTAAAGGAATTACTTTCCTACCAGCATTTATATATCTTAAAATGACTCCTCACATTTTCCTATTGTATCCCTCCAAGGTGCACAAGTTCATTTACCTGCTTTGTTGTGGGTTTTTTTTGGGGGGGGGGCACTGGTGCATAGCCTGCAATCATTCATTCCATTTTTCTTATTATGCATTACTTTGGATACTCCCCGTTGCATCGTACAATCTATCTGACATTCACTGCAAATCACTCCAGTTTTTAGCAGACCGCAGGGCATCAACTGAATTAAAAGTGTGCTTACACGCATACCCTAAACAGCAAACTCTAACATTAACACAAACCTTCCTTTTCATCGTATCCATTGCTTTTCTCACACCATTCCACAAAGCCTCCACTGCGCATTTATGCGGCACTCTTCTCCCTTCTTCCAAGCAGTTTCCACCTTGCCTTGCCTTACTTCCACTTTCTTTTCATTCAATAGGGAGGCTGAGCTATCTTCTAATATTTTTGATATAGGACTTGTACTTTGTCTTATCCCAGAAAATTGCCTTTTCGGTTCGCTACAATTTCGTTTATTTTTCTTCTGTATTTATTTTTCTCCAAGAGCTAGTTGTCAGCTTACATTTCTCCCTAAGAAAATGGATAGGCGGTCCTCAGCTTATGACTATAGTTGGGACAGGAACTTCCATCACCAAGCAATGTGGTTGCTAAGTGAGCCGTGCCCTATTTTACAATCTTTTTTTGCTGCAACAAATATGGCTTCCCCCACTGACTGTGCTCGTCAGAAGCTGCCTGGGAAAGTCGCAAATGGGGATCATGTGATCCCAGGATTCATTCACGGTTGCTTTTCATGGCTTTACTTAACTGAAGCTTGCACAGAATTCTTTTCAATAAGAGAGAGAAGTTACCAGCTCTTGTCATACCCATGATGGGAAGGCCTGGAAAAAAACTGGAAAAATTGGTGGTGGTGGAGGGGAAACAGAGGTTTTGTTTTCCCGTTTTTTTCAAACGGCTTTGCAAAAAAAGAAAAAAAAATCTCCGTTCTTTTTTCCAGGCCTTCCCATCTCTACCCATGACACAGTGTTCCCTCCTGACGCCAAGAACAGGGCTAATAGGTTTGGGCCAATGCACCACAAGTGCAAGCACAATCCTATTTTATTTCAAGCACGTCCACAGCACGATGTAAAAAAGATGCTGAGACTCTAGAAAGAGTACAGAGAAGAGCAACAAAGATGATTAGGGGACTGGAGGCTAAAACATATAAGGAAAGACTGCTGGAATTGGGTTTGTCTAGTTTAATGAAGAGAAGGACGAGGGGGGACATGATAGCAGTGTTCCAGTATCTCAGGGGCTGCCCCAAAGAAGAGGGAGTCAAGCTATTCTCCAAAGCACCTGAAGGCAGGACAAGAAGCAACGGATGGAAACTCACCAAGGAGAGAAGCAACCTAGAACTAAGGAGAAACTTCCTGACATTTAGAACAATTAACCAGTGGAACAACCTGCCTCCAGAAGTGGTGAATGCTCCAACAGTGGAAGTTTTTAAGAAGAAACTGGACAGCCATTTATCCGAAATGGTATAGGGTTTCCTGCCTGAGCAGGGGGTTGGACTTGATGACCTCCAAGGTCCCTTCCAACTTTTTTATTATTATTATTATTATTATTATTATTATTATTATTATTATTATTATTATTATTATTATTATTATTTACTACTACTACTACTACTACTACTACTACTACTACTACTACTACTACTATTTCCTGACATGTCTGCTCTGGAACTGTTCGCTCTTTCTTCTACTTCAAGGAGATGGACCACTTACTTCCAAAGAAATGTTGCCCTTGCTAAGGGCTTCGGCTATGTGCATGTAAACATTATTCTTCATCCCGTAAGAAAGCTCTAGATTACATCCGGCGTTCACAGCCACTGCAGGGAGAAAAAAGGATCGCACCATTAGTCCAAAAAGTCAGTGAAACATTGGCTTCAATTCATGTTTGTCTGCAAGCCATGGTTTGGCTCTCTGTTTGAGGAGACAGACAGTCTGGCAATAGTGTGCCATCCTTGGCAAGTGAAGAGCAACAGCAATAGCACTTAAGACTTATATACTGCTTCACAGCGCTTTACAGCTGGGAACCTGGGGTTCGAGACCCGAGCGCTGTGCAATGGGTTGAGCTCTTGTTACTTGTCCCAGCTCTTGCCAACCAAATGTGAGTAGATAAATAGGTACCACTTTGGTGGGAAAGTAACAGTGTGTCATGTGCCTTGGCGTATTGTCATGCTGGCCACATGCCCACGGAAGCGTCTTCGGACAACGCTGCCTCCCTCAGCTAAAAAAAAATGGAGATGAGGACTGCCCCCTAGGGTCGGACACGACTGGACAGGGGAAACCTTTGCCTTTATATGTGATACTTACAGACAAGGAGTTTTTGGTGGATTTGGGAGAGAAAATAGTGCTTGGATGGTGGAAATTAAGTACAGACGGAAACAAATCTGGGTTCCAGGCTAGAAGGTCAGCCTCAGAGCAACGCTAGTAGGACTCTCGAAACGCAATCTGCAACCGAAGGTAGGTTGCGAGGAGCTTCCAGCGTGGAGATGAGGAGAGCCGTGTTTTGCAACACTCACCAATTGCCGTCTCCAGGAAACTGTGCGTGTAGCGGTGCCCACCCATGATCAGCTCCACGGCACCTTCATCGCTCACCACATAACCCTGGAAGCCCCATTCGTCTCGGAGGATGTCGGTCAGCAGCTTCTTGTTAGCACAGGCCGGGACTCCATTAATTCTGCCAGATGAACCAAGGCTGGTTAGCAGACTTACAAGCATGACCTCTTTGGGGCCTTCCTGTCTTCCTGCCCTGGCAAGAGGCAGTTTGGTCTAGTGGTTAAGGCACTAGGCAAAAAGCAGGAGACTGTGAGTTCTAGTCCCGCCTTAGCCATGAAAATCAAATGAGTGACTTTGGGCCAATCACCAGGAGACAGTGAGTTCTAGTCCCGCCTTAGCCATGAAAATCAAATGAGTGACTTTGGGCCAATCACCAGGAGACAGTGAGTTCTAGTCCTGCCTTAGCCATGAAAGCCAGCTGGGTGACTTTGGGTCAGTCCATCTCTCTCAGCCCAACCAACCTCATAGGGTTGTTGTTGTGGGTAAAATAAGAGGAGGAGGAAGATGTGTTGGATATGTCGGTTGCCTCAAGTTATTTCTAAAAATAATACAGGCAGGATAAAAATGAAAATAAAAATAAATAAAAATAAAATAATAAAACAAAATAAAACAAAATAAAATAAATAAAAAATAAAATAAAATAATAAAACAAAACAAAAAATAAATAAATAAAATAAAATAATAAAATAAAACAAAACAAGAATATAAAATAAAATAAATAAAAAATAAAATAAAATAAATAAAATAATAAAACAAAACAAAAATTAAAATAATAAAATTAAATTACAATTAAAATAAATAAAATAATAATAAAACAAAAAATAAAATAAAACAAAACAAAATAAATAAAATAATAAATAAAATAATAAAACAAAACAAAACAAAATAATAAAATAAAATGAAATAAAAGTTAAAATAATTAAAATAATAATAAAACAATAAAATAAAATGAAATAAAAGTTAAAATAAATAAAATAATAATAAAACAAAAAATAAAACAAAACAAAATAAAATAAATAAAATAAAATGAAAAAATAAAACAAAACAAAACATAAAATAATAAAATAAAATGAAATAAAAGTTAAAATAATTAAAATAATAATAAAACAAAATAAAATGAAATAAAAGTTAAAATAAATAAAATAATAATAAAACAAAAAATAATAAAACAAAACAAAATAAAATAAATAAAATAAAAAATAAAATAATAAAACAAAACAAAACATAAAATAATAAAATAAAATGAAATAAAAGTTAAAATAATTAAAATAATAATAAAACAATAAAATAAAATGAAATAAAAGTTAAAATAAATAAAATAATAAAATAAAATAAAATAAAAAATAAAATAATAAAACAAAATAAAATAATAAAATAAAATGAAATAAAAGTTAAAATAAATAAAATAATAAAACAATAAAATAAAATAAAATAAAATAAAAGTTGAAATAAATAAAATAATAATAAAACAATAAAATAAAACAAAAATACCTGTTATAGCTGCACATGAAGCTGAATGTCCCGGCTCGCACGCAGGCCTCAAACTGAGGCAGGAAAGTCATGCGCCAATCACGTTCTTCCACCTGTCACAAAACGTACCACCATATCCTCAGTGTATTGCCAGCCCATTCAGCCTGACTTGTGAAACTCTTCCCAAATCAATGCTGCCTTCTCTCCTTTTATTATAGGTAATCCTCCGACTTATGACTGGTTGCATACGATCACTGCCAAAAAGCTCGTAAAATTGAGGAAACCCCCCCCCAGGGGGTGCTTACAGCCTGGTTCAGAAGTTCCAACAACTGCACCCCCTCCCTCACAGCCATATGTCAGGTGCTCAGCAACCAGCTGGCATTTACGGTCGTTTGCAGCATCCTGTGTTCACATGACCACATTTTACAACGGTTTTGACAGACATGGCGCTTCCCTCCGGTTTTCAGCAAAACCAGCCCATAGCGAACAATTGGTTCACTTTACAGCACTGGTCTTGGCCTAACAACTACCACAAAAAAGGTCATAAAATTGGGTCAGTCAAATGGGTAACCTGCATTACCACCATCATGACTTACCGCCGTAATGAGCAGGCTCCATTATGATGGTAAGTTAAGGACTCTTGGTAAATACCTTAAAAGTTCATAACTATCCTGTGAGGTCTCCTTGTTCGCTCCTCATTGTAACCCAAGCCAGAACTTACACATGTTGAGGGTTCATTTCATATTCTGGTTTGTGCTAATAGGAGATAGCGGTTGACCAGATTTCCCCCAAACCCATACACTGTTAGGTTGTTGGGACGAAAATAAATGAGCTAGAGAAACTGGCAGAAAGCAGGCACCCAACTCCGAAACCCACCTGGAGAGAAGCTCCATCTCTGATCCTCTTTCACTGACCTTGGCATCAAAGAAAAACCGGGATACAGGGATATTCTCAGGACCCCCATGGACATCAAAATGCTTGCAGCCAGCATTAGCTTTGATGTAACGGGGATGGTCACCCTGCAGCCCCTTCACAAATGCAGTTCCCAGCTGGGTGGTCAAGAATGGGTCCTCCCCATAAGTCTCCTAAAAAAGAAGCAAATTGGTCAGTTCAACCCTATTCTTCCCACCCCGTTTTTATTTCCGTTAACGACAAGCATAAAACGAGACCCAATCAGGCAAAGAAATGAAAAGAATTACAAAGCAAAAAAGCAGCACCAAAACAATGAGGTTCTCAAATAATTGATGTCTAACAAAGGAAGATATTAATACTGTAATCCTGAACCTACAACCTATAATGAAATACAGAATATCATTAGCCTTAAAACTGTAAAATTAAAGCTAATACCCATGATCAAAAGAGAAACAAAGCCTCTGATCACGGAGTCACTCATTTCTACTTCTGGTTATCCCATTTCTGAGAGTAAGAATCTAGCAGCTCCTTGGGTCCTCCTTAAATTTCTACAGGTCCCAGTATCTGAAGATTTGCTTTGACCTAATTCGGGAGCTCCTTTTTTTTTAGCTCAGGCGACTCTTGTGGCCAAGGCTAGGAATATTTGTAACCTCTAAAGTACATATAGTCAAGGCCATGGTCTTCCCAGTTGCAATGTATGGCTGTGAAAGCTGGACCCTAAGAAAGGCTGAGCGCCAAAGAATGGAGGCCTTTGAACTCTGGTGCTGGAGAAGACTCCTGCGAGTCCCCTGGACTGCAAGGTGATCAAACCGGTCAGTCCTAGAGGAGATCAACCCCGACTGCTCTTTAGAAGGCCAGATCCTGAAGTTGAACCTCAAGTACTTTGGCCACCTAATGAGAAGGAAGGACTCACTGGAGAAGAGCCTAATGCTGGGAAAGATTGAGGGCAATAGAAGAAGGGGATGACAGAGAAGGAGGTAGCTGGATGGAGTCACTGAAGCAGTAGGCGTGAGCTTAAGTGGACTCCAGAAGATGGTAGAGGACAGGAAGGCCTGGAGGAACGTTGTCCATGGGGTCACGATGGGTCGGACACAACTTCGCAACTAACAACAAATGTAATCCCTGTTGAGATTCAAGAATCAGTGACTGCTCTTCACAACTTTGGAGACACTCAACAGTAGTTGCATTTCAGAGGACTTTTCTTGGGACAATTAAAGCCGTTACGTTTTCCCTGATCTGGGAGTTTCCAGGGACGATGGAATCAATCCTTACCCTCCCCATTCATGCGCCTAAATCATGGATACCTGGTTCCTGCCCCAGAGTGGGTGCCGCATAATGTTCAAGACTGGGCTGAAGCAGCTTAAGCCAGTATGGTCATTATAATAGCCGACGGAGTCAAAATAGTTGTGCTTGGCGCGGACCTCAGTGGCCGTAGCGTTGGCCACTTCGAAGATGAGTTGAGGGCTGTTCGAAGACATAAGGAGAGTTGAAGAGAAAAGGATTCTGTCAATTGCCATGAAATAAGGTCACTCCAAACACGCTTGGCCGTGCTAGGCCATCATCCTGTACAGATGGGGTCTCAGTTCTCTGCAGGGCCACAACAGAGCTTCCAGAGGTCCATAACCGAAGTCCCAACTGTGTATTTTGCATCAGTGACATCACTTGCAAATAGCATGCAGCACATCGTTTACATGATTTGCATGGTGATGTCATGGCATAGGGGACATCATTTCCCCCCCCTCCGGTGGATACCCAAGTCTTTTTCTTCTTAATAAATTTAATAATCATTTTTAGCGAGATAAAAACAGTACAAATATTGAAAAAAAAAGAAAGGAATTAAGAATGAATAAGTGAGAAAGAAAATAGAAACAAGACAAATCTTACATAAATAAAAATGTAAATGTTCGTTTGTTCAAAATCTTAAATCTCCGAAAGTTCTTCACCGATTGCTTTGAAATTTTGACACAACGTTGCATTCGAAAACGCGCGTGTTTTTATATACCTACTATTATATAGATGTCACACCTGTGACAGGTAAAAACATGCTTTTTTGAAAAACAGCGCCATCTGTTGGACATAAAAGCAACACACGCTTTTACCAGACTGAGCCATAGCAACGTGTAGCTGGGTACAGCTGGTACAAAAAGAAAATATTGTAAAGTAGCAGCTTCTGATTTTTTTGGATAACACTTATAAATGCAAATAAGCAGCAATCCGGTTTGAGACAATATTCAGTCTGAATAAGAGAGGACTTATTGGAGATATGTTAGCCATAGTTGGGTACATAAATGGAAGCTCCACAGAAGATGGGATGGTAGCTGTTTTCCTTGGCCATGGAAAGGTGACACTACCTAGATTTTCTTCGAAATCTTCCTAAAGGTTGTTCTTAGGTTGTTCATAGGTAGACAGTGGAACAGTCTATCTCTGGTGGTTTGGGTTCTCCATCTCTGGAGGCTTTGAAGAAGAGGCTGTACATCTGACTCTGGTAGATGATTTAAATTATCTTTGGAGCAGATGATCCTTGTGGCCCTTCCAACTCTACAATTCCAAAAATGGTACCAGGTTTTGCAAATCTGGACCCTTAAGGTGTCCATGCTGGTAGATCCGATAGTATGCTGAAAATTTAGCAATAATGGGTGACCAAGATCCTAAGTGGGTGAGCTCAGAGACAGAATTGGGACAACCTTCACATAACAACTGCTTTGCTTAGCAACTGAAATTTTGGGCTCACCTTTGGCCATAAATTGAGGACTAACTGTACATTGACTTAATAGGTAAATTCCTACTTGAAAGAGGCAGCCAAGCCAAGTGCTTGAGGAAAAGATGTTGCCCAGCCTTGTGCTTCTGCATCTCCACGAAGACATTCCGTGTTCCAGTTGTAGGGCCCAATGCCCAAACGCTCAATAGGTGGGGCCGGCCCATTGCCCTGAGCTCCGCCTCTCGCCATCTGTGAGTAGAAAGCCCATATGGTGAATGGATAACCATGGCCAGGCACCCCTCTGATGTGGTTTGGTAGAGGAAGACAAGCAAATTGGTCTTCCAAAGCTCTGTTGACCATCAACCCCAGCAAACCATTCAAGATGCTTGTCCTACCTGCAGGATCATCTCCTTCGGGGTCAGCCTGTTAACCAGGTCGTCCACTCGTTCCTCCCAAGACAATGTGGGATCCCTGAAGGGGAAATCCCATCCGCAGCAGAGCCCAGCCAACAGCAATGGGGCAGCAAAACGACAAAAAGCCATCATTTGGTCTGCAATTGAGAAAAATAGCAATAGTAATAGCACTTAGACTTATATACCGCTTTACAGCCCTAAGCAGGTTTTTTTTTTACATATCTTGGAAGGGTCTTAATGTTCCTTCTTCCAAGATGCTCTTCCTATTTCCCACTCCGCCTCCCCCCCCAGTAATCCCATCTAATAACTAACCAGTTTCTACATGAAACCTTACAAAAGTCTAAAGATCTTCCAAAGAATCTTCATCCTGGAATGAGTCTTTGATGGTTTATTAAGGAAAACCCATGGGAGATTAAAGGAGGAGCTGCATTAATTCTGGGTAGAGTGGTTGAATTCATTTACCCTGTCCCTGCTCACATGGCTCAAACCAGCTTTTGTTTCTCCACGGCTCATTGAATTAACCACAAATGATTGGCTCTGTACATTATACCATGAACTGTGACTTACAAACCTAGTCACTAGTTCACAATCAGGCTAAGCCAAAATTAAACCACATGATAACTCTATCCACAGTGTGATCTCAGCTCATTATGCTAACCATGACCAAATGACATAGTTTGCAGACATCAGGAAAAAAAGAAAGAAAGAAAGAAAGAAAGAAAGAAAGAAAGAAAGAAAGAAAGAAAGGAAAGAAATTTCCTAACAATTATGTAAAAGCACAGTTCGACATGAATCCGTAACGTGATTTGTTTTGCGTGTTGCGTGTTGTATGAATATCCAGCCAACTATGGTTTACCCAATAAACCATATTAAATCAACCAACTATGGTTTACCCAATAAACCATATAAATTTCTGCAGTGTAGGAACCCAACCTATAATCATTGTGTTCCTTTTGGGCTTAAATGAAACTGTCAATAGCCTGATTCAGTCCTTGGAGTGCTGCTAATGTGGTTGCTTCCTGCTTCGGTAGCACGTTCTGTACAGAGATAAGATGATGTTGAAAACACAATGCAAATGATGAACCAAGAAAGAAGTCTTGATAAGAAGCAACACCCTCTTCTGAATATATGTTATTAAAAAGATTTCAACCTGAACCCTGGAGCAAAGATCACGGAATTCTGCGACGTTAAAAGTATTAGAAAAGTTCTCAGGACCTACGCCTAAACAAGTCAGTGAAATCGTCTTGGGAAAGGAAATTTACATGGGCGTAACGTGAGTATAATATGGCTAAACAAGACAAGTGTCTTCTTGGCGTTTCTGGAAAGTCAAAGGCTTACAAGAGAATTCCGTGAAGGTGTCTATGAAATCACAACATAGTGTTCACGGCAAGAGAATGAAGGTAGCTGGCCGTGACTTACTATTACTATCTATTAAGACAGATAACTAAGAGTCTTTGGTCTAGTGCAGGGGTAGGCAACCTTGGCTCTTTTATGACTCGTGACTTCAACTCCCAGAATCCCTGAGCCAGGGATTCTGGGAGTTGAAGTCCACGAGTCATAAAAGAGCCAAGGTTGCCTACCCCTGACTCTAGTGGTTAGAAAGACTGGAAAGCAGGAGACCGTGAGTTCAAGTCCCGCCTTAGCCATGAAAGCCGGCTGGGTGACTTTGGGCCAGTCACTCTCTCTCAGCCCAACCCACCTCACAGGGTTGTCGTTGTGGGGAATAAAGGAGGAAGAAAGAGTACTGTGTGTATTTTCTACCTTGAGTTACTTGCAAGAACAATAAAAGCAGGACATAAATAAATTCAGAAAAAAAGAAGAGCCCGTCCTGAGCGGGCTCTAACCCTTGTGTGGTTTTTCGGAGCTCAGCACCTGGATCGCTTCCCACCTGCCACCTTCCAAGAGGCAGCAGAACAAGCCACTTCTCAGCTTTGCAGCCAACTTTAGACTTTGGCTTTCCTGGTTGGGTCTTCGACTTCCAAGGCTGGGATTGCGCCCTCTCCTCTCCCCCGCCCCAAGGAAGGCTCCTTTCTCCCAGATTCTGCATCTTTCGCGAACCCAACTGCGCAGGACCTGGTTCGGCGCTCTCCAGCCACGGAAGGTGGCCAACCCAAGTTGGTTAAGAGTCGTTGGAAAGAAGGCGAAACGGGTCGCTTCTCTCTCTCTTTCTCTCTCTCTCTTTCTATGTCTCTTTCTATCTCTCTCTCTCTCTCTTTCTCTCTCTCTCTCTCTCCTCTTCTCCTCCTCCCCTCCCCCCGCTACCTTTCCCCCTTACCTTCTCTCGCGATCCCCCTCTCTCCAGCCGCTTCTGCACCCGGCTGCCTCCGCCCGCCCGCATCTGTTGCAAGCGCACAGTTGTTGCACAACGGCGATCACGAGGCCCCTTCCCCGCCTCCGTTAGCCCGGAGGCTCGCGGGACAAGCTGAGCACCGCCGCCCGCAGAGAGGCCGCGGAACAGGGAGCCGCTTCTTTGTGCTTACGAAGCTTTTGCACCTCCCGTCGCCTCCCTCCTTCCTCAGCAAGTTCTGGGCCTCGGGCTTCGGCACACCAGGACGGGCGGGCGCTGGGGGCGGAGGCGGCAACCCTCTCCCCCTCCCCCGGCTTAACAAGCCGAACCCGGCCCGGCCCAGTCCAGCCCGGCCCGGCTCGTCCGAGCGGAGCCAAGTTGCAGGAGAAACCGCTCCGTCCTTGGTGGTGGCCGCCCAACTGCTCTTCCCGGCTCCTCCACTAGAGGGCGAGGGCCTCCCCCTCCCCCGCCCTGATGCCCGCCCTGCATCCTTCAGCGCGCACCTCGGCCAGGTGGGAGCAGGTCAACTTGCTGAGCCAACTAAAGCTTTCGCAGGTACGCGAAAGCCAGCTCAGCTCTTGCTGACTTCACAGAGCCGACTGGGAAGTTTTCCTGACGTGATGTAAAAGAGTGGGGGTTTTTTTTTTACTCCACCGCTTTAAAAAAAAAAAAAAAGTCCAGGACTAAAACAAATAATTTGTTGTTGTTGTTAATTTGCGAAGTCGTGTCCGACCCATCGCAACCCCATGGACAACGTTCCTCCAGGCCTTCCTGTTCTCTACCATCTTTTGGAGTCCATTGAAGCTCACGCCTCCTGCTTCAGTGACTCCATCCAGCCACCTCATTCTCTGTCGTCCCCTTCGTCTATTGCCCTCCATCTTTCCCAGCATTAGGCTATTATTATTATTATTATTATTATTATTATTATTATTATTATTATTATTATTATTATTATTATTATTATTATTATTATTATTATTACTGTGTCACGGGTAGAGATGACTCTGTAAACCGCTTAGAGGGCTGGAAAGCATCGTGAAATGGTATATAAATCTAAGTGCTATTGCTACTGCTACTGCTGAGAAGCTAAGGGCCTACTCTTGTTTCTGGCTGATGCAGGAGGGGCTTAGCAGCTATCTCAGCAAATGTCACCTCTGCTCTTGGATGTGAGCATCCGAGGTGTCTCCAGTATTATCCCAAAGATGTGAAAGCTGCAGTCGAAGGAGCAGACGTTGTGATCGTGTGCCTTGGGACAGGTAAGAGGTGTGCCTAAAAACGCAGGTTTTCCGTCAGTCCTTGAAGAAGTGTAAGATTATCGTAATGGAATCGGTCAAGCCTGCAAGCCTTTCTGCCTTCCCTTCCCTTGACTTTCCAGAGAATTAGGGAGTGTCCCTTCTGAGATGCTTTCTCCATCCCTGTTCCTTCTGTGGACAGAGAGATCTCTTCTCTGACTGTTTTCATTGAGGTCATGGTCATCTCTTTTGTTGTTGTTGTTGTTAGTTGCGAAGTCGTGTCTGACCCATCGCGACCCCATGGACAATGTCCCTCCAGGCCTTCCTGTCCTCTACCATCTTTTGGAGTCCATTTAAGCTCACGCCTCCTGCTTCAGTGACTCCATCCAGCCACCTCATTCTCTGTCGTCCCCTTCTTCTCTTGCCCTCAGTCTTTCCCAGCATTAGGCTCTTCTCCAGGGAGTCCTTCCTTCTCATCAGGTGGCCAAAGTACTTGAGTTTCAACTTCAGGATCTGGCCTTCTAAAGAGCAGTCGGGGTTGATCTCCTCTAGGACTGACCGGTTGGATCGCCTTGCAGTCCAGGGGACTGGCAGGAGTCTTCTCCAGCACCATAGTTCAAAAGTCTCCATTCTGTGGCGCTCAGCCTTTCTTACGGTCCAACTTTCACAGCCATACATTGCAACTGGGAAAACCATGGCCTTGACTATACGCACTTTTGTTGGCAGGGCGATGTCTCTGCTTTTTAGTATGCCGTCTAGATTTGCCATAGCTTTCCTCCCCAGGAGCAAGCGTCTTTTAATTTCTTGGCTGCAGTCCCCATCTGAGGTGATCTTGGAGCCCAGGAAAATAAAATTATCCGATAATAATAAAAATAATAACCCACTCTTGGGCTCTTTAAGTGGTCTCAGCCGAGCCAGGCCATCTCCTGAGACTTCTCCTGAGCAGGCAAGGGTGCTGAAGTAATGGCAGGGCTCCTATTGTGTCACAACCCGGTGTGTGTCGGCAGAAGGAAAGTCTCTCCTGGAAACTGGTCTTCCTTCTGCCTTCAGCAGATTTTGTCTGCCTTTCAGACCTCAAAGCAAGCCTGAGAAGTTAAACCGGGCAGGCAAGTTTCTGGGCGATGATGTGATTTCTGGAACTCTTCCCAAGTCCCACAGGGCCACCCTGGGAAGGAAGCGGGCGTGAGAAACAGTAACGCAACGGTGTCTTCCATGTAAATGTTGTGGAGAATTGTCTAACTGAAAGCTTTCTCCCTGCAGCTCCCTTTTCGAAACCAGCCAGTCTTGCCATCGCTTGCCCTGTCACCGCAAATTTGTTCCTGTTTGGCAAACCTGAACGTGGATGTTCAGGCAAAAACAAATACCGTTTGAAGGCCCTCTGTGTAATTTTTGCCCAGCCTTCTGTGTTGCATTCCAAAAAGTCCTTCTGGCATCTTTTCTCAACCTTTGACTGGCTGAGGCCATAGGAGCCTCTGAATTTTTCCTCTGTGAGAAGACGTTGCGTGCTGTATCCACATACAGGTAGTCCCCGACTTACAACAATGTATTCAGTGACTGTTTGACGTTACAGCAGCACTGAAAAATGACTTGTGACTGGTTTTCCCACGGTCATGGGATCGAAATTCAGGCCCTCGACAACTGGCGTGTATTTATGACAGTTGCATCGTGCTGGGGGGGTCACGTGATCCCCATGTGCAAACTTCCCAGCTGGCTTCTGACAAGCAAAGTCAATGGGGTGTGTGTGTGTGCCAGATTCGCTTAACAGCTGCATGATTCTTTTAACAACTGTGGCCCCAAAAAAATGTTAGAAAACGGTACACAGCTCACTTAATGATGGTCTAGCTTGCCAAAAGAAATGTTGGGTTCAATTGTAGTCATAAGTTGAGGACTACCTGTATATGCTGTGCGTTTTATGCTTCCCTCTTTGTGTTGTGTGTACAGGGTGACCTGCATAGTACATGCTATGGGTCACAAGACCGGAGGAAGAGAACTTAGCCACTGGCTCTTTCCGCTGGTGTCTCTTTCTCGCTCTTTCTCTCTCTCCCACCCTCTCCCTCTCTTTCTCTTTCTGTATTTTTCTGGCATTTTTTTTTCTGTAACAAGAGTGAGAAAATCTTTCTTTTGCTGTGCCTTTTCATGAAGCAACTGAATTTTCTTGTTTTTCTTTGAAAAGCTTCTTCAGCTCTGAGTGTATGGTGGGGAATGGAATGGAAGGATTTATACTCCTTGCAGACAGCTGGTCATTGGCATTTGGTGTCATAAGTGTGAAAAATGTCACTTTTTTCAATGCCTGTTGCAACTTCAGCCACTAAATACAGCATTAACCTTGTGAACTCTCAAGCTTCCTCCTTCCGTTATATATTCAAGATGGACAGTATTTAATATTTATTTGCTATGTATATGTAGGGGTGTGGGTCTATACATATGTTGTTCATAGTATGTTTGGGTGTGTGTCATGTGTGTGTTTCACTTTGAGAGTGGGCAACTAAATTTCATTTTTGATGTGTGCCGTGGTGCCCACAGTAAAAAAATGACAATAAAGGTTATCTTATCATCTTATCTTATCATCTTATCTTATCTTATCTTATCTTATCTTATCTCAGCTTATATTCTTATCTTATCTTATCATCTCATCTCATCTCATCTTATGAGCTGTTGTAAATCAATGTGGTTGCTTTATTGGGGGCTCATCTCTTGGTGCCCTCAGGGTGCACAGAGGGGGCCACTACATAAACTCTGGTTCCTGGTTCCTGTGACAGTTAGAACAATTAACCAGTGGAACAACTTGGTTGTTCAGAAGCTGTGAATGCTCCAACACTGGAAGTTTTTAAGAAGAGACTGGACGGCCATTTGTCCGAAATGGTATAGGGTTTCCTGCCTGAGCAGGGGGTTGGACCGGATGACCTTCAAGGTCCCTTCCAACTTTATTATTATTATTATTATTATTATTATTATTATTATTATTATTATTATTATTAGTAGTAGTAGTAGTAGTAGTAGTAGTAGTAGTAGTAGTAGTAGTAGTGGTAGTAGTGGTAGTGGTAGTAGTAGTAGTGACCACACGAATATTTCCATTTGGTTTTCTCTGCAACAATATGGAAATTGTTTCCCACTGCCTTTTCTAGGATATTTCCCCCCTTTTCTGTCCAGGCTACAATCCTGGAAATGCCTCCCCATCCAGGTGGTGAGGGCTCCAATCTGCTTTTTTTATGTCATTCAAGATTTATGGGCATCCCAGGATGTGTTCTGGTGTCTTTTTTCCCCTTTCACACCCTTCCCTTCCTTCCCTTGATTCAGTCCCAAGAACACAACGATATTTACGAAAAGGCAGATCGGTATTTTATTCGATTCCTTTTTACAGTTTAAAAAAAAGATACTGTGGATAAAATACTTGAATTTTAAAACATTCCCAAGTGTATAAAAGTTCTGAATCATAAAATACAGTACAGGTAGACCTCGACTTCCCACAGTTTATTTACAGTAGTGGCCCAAATTGTGGAAACCTTTTGGGAAAAGTGTACAGTAGAAATGCCACCTTTGGTTAAGTTTCCACCCATTTTTTTTCTAATTTCTTTATAACTGTAGCCTTGTGGTCGTATGTTGAAGACTACCTGTACCTCTTTCCCCTGAGAATCATAGACACACAGGTCTAACAGAAACACCTGCATTAAACAGAGACACACACACAAACACACAAATAACCTTGTTCGTCAAGTTGCAGTTTCTTGGAATTCCTGAATTCTGGTGCTAAAAGGTACAAC